AGGAATTAGACTAATGCATAAGAAAATAACTTCACTATGAAATACATTTTATTTAAAAGGTATTTCATATATATTTGTTCATATACTACAATATTTAGATCCAAATGTATGTTTTTCAGGTAGTGTAACAATTTATAAATTATAAATTCATAGTTATCAGTTAATAATATATGTATTTATTTCAATGTGTGGGAATACAAACGTAGCTTATCATTTTATTATAATTAAATTTCTTTATGTGCTCACCGCAAATTTTAAATGCAATAAATATGATTTTTCAGTCATAAAATTAGGTTGAATCTGCTGAATCAACATTTTCAGCAAAAATGTATACTATCTCAGAGAATCCTAGGGAATCAATAGGGAAATACCTCCAGTTCAAATATCAGATAAATAGAAAAAAGAACTGAATGTCCTTTCAAAACTATAATTGTTACCCAACTTATAAGAAGAAAATGTCAAAAGGACAAAAAGGGTTGAAAATATTTAACTAGAACTTTAATTTTGAGGATACACATTTTTAGTCCATCATCAAGGCTTACCGAATTGTTTTATTTGCTAGAGTTTTAAATGTGATGAAGCAGTACTATTTATTTTGGGATGTTAACTGTGATTTTCATTTTAAGCTCCCACCTCCCTTATGTTCTTAAATTAATTCATACAAATCCCTGATTAATAATAAAAGGGTTTGCCATCAATATTCAAAGCCCAGCCTGAGTTGTCATGGCTGAGAAGGCAGAAATCTGCTTGGAGCAGTGAGAGAACCCAACTGAATTCTTAGCGTCTCAGTCTATGAATGTGTAAGCACTTCATCTGTTCATGAAACACAACGTTCTGGCAGGCTGAGAGTAAAGGTAGCTGCATGGGTAACAAACTGGAAGACCTGGAAAGCAGCACTACATCAAAGTACCGAAATGGCAGAAGCAATACGTTTCCTTTTCAAACACAAAATATGTGTTATTTAGTGTAAGCTATCTGTATTCCAGGCACTTATTTCACCCCATCACTGTTGTCCATCCAATGATCTTTGTGAACATCACATGTGGATTTGCCTTTCAGTAACATTTTATAAAAGAAATTATTGCAAATCAGAGCATAACACAAGGAAGGCCAAAGGACAACTACTTATACTTCTTTTCCTTCTTTTAATTTATCCTTATAAAATCTAGTGGTAGGAAGAACACTCCCCCAGACCAGGCATCTACGTAGCAGTTATATGCATTTGAGCAAGCAAATACTGGTCTCTGAACTTCAATTCCTGTCTGTAAAATGATGACAATATCTGCCTTAGAGAACTGTTGTAAAGATAATAAAGTAGTAAATGACAGTACTCTGTAAATTATCACATGCATTCTATAAAGTATGTGTTATTTGAAAGATAAATATTAACAGGCATCATATTGTACACACAAGATACCTCCAGTGAAAAAACTGTGACTTTGAAAAGTGGCTCATTCATTTCTTTGTTATATTATCATCAGTCTTCACTCATACTATTAAGAACAATAAAAGCAGCTAAAATATATGTACTGTCTCAACTGATCCAAAATCCTTTTGAAATATCAAATTACTACAAAGCAAGAAATCAAGTCAGAGCATTGTAAGAATATATAAATGAGATGGTGTCACTCATCTCATGAGACAGTGATATATGCAAAAAAACAAATGTTTGTTGCTGTAAGCAACTGAAATTTGGGGGCTGTTTGTGCTGCAGCAAAAGCTGACTGATACATATAAGTAGAATCCACAGCTTAGCAATGCATATTTACATAGTCATAGATTCAAAAGAGATTCAATCAGAAAACTGAAATTAAAAGTTGTGACATAATTATATCAGGAGGGTCAGTGGGGGGGAAGATGAGTAAAACAGTTATATCTAAATATAACACAGAAGGAAATCTATTAATAATGTCTAAAGTTGAAAAATCAAGAAATATAAGTATATTATTTAGAATTATGTAGGTAAGGTGCAAAAGACACATTAAAATAATTGGAAGTTTGGCTGGGTGCAATGGCTCATATCTGTAATCCGAGCACTTTGGGAGGCCAAGGCAGGCAGATTACTTAAGCCCAGGAGTTCATGACCAGTCTGAGCAACATGGCAAAACACCATCTCTACAAAAAATACAAAAATCAGCAAGGTGTGATAGTGCATACCTGTGGACTGAGCTACCTGAGGGGCTGAGGTGGGAGAATCGCTTGAGCCCAGGAGGCAGAGGCTACAGTGAGCCCTGATCATTCCACTAACACTCCAGCTTGAGTGACAGTGAGAATCAGTCCGAAAACTAGGCCTCCTGTGCAAAAAGCCAACTTGTGGATGCCAGTGAAAAATTCTTGAGCACTTTTAATTAAAAGTGCTATTCTAGTGAGCATACAAATGATAAAGTAAAACAGCCTTATTGTTTATGTGGAAAAAATGAGTGGTCTGGATAGAAGATCAACCAGCCACAACATTCCCTTAAGCCAAAGCCTGATCCAGGGAAAGGCCCTAGTTCTCTTCAAGTCTATGAAGGTTGAGAAAGGTAAGGGAGCTTCAGAAGAAAAGTCTGAAGCTAGCAGAGGCTAGTTCATGCGGTTAAAGGAAAGAGGTCATTTCCATAACATAAAAGTACAAGGTAAAGCACCAAGTGCTGATGTAGAAGCTGCAGCAAGTTATCTAGAAGACCATGCTAAAGTAACTGATAAAGGTGACTGCAGTCAACAACAACCTTCAATGTAGAGAAAACAGACTACTCTTACTATTGAAAGAAGATGCCATCCAGGACTTACACAGCTGGAGAGAAGTCAATAGCTGGCCTCAAAGCTTCTAAAGATAGGCTGAGGGCCTGGCACAGTGGCTCACACCTGCAATCCCAGCACTTAGGGAGGTCAAGGTGGGCAGATCCCGAGGTCAGGAGTTCAAGATCAGCCTGACCAACATAGCGAAATCCCATCTGTACTAAAAATACAAAAAAAATTAGCTAGATATGGTGGTGGGTGCCTATAATCCTAGTTCCTTGAGCAGATGAGGAGCTGCTTCTTATGGGTAAGCAAAGAAAGTGGTTCCTTAAGACAGATTCTACTCCAGCTAAGATGTTGTGTACATTGCTGAAATAACAAAAAATTTAAAATATAACATAAACTCAGTGATAAAGCAGTGGCACGGTTTGAAAGGATTGGCTACAATTTTGAAAGAAGTTCTACAGTGGGTAATTGTATGTACAGAGTAATCTTTTATGAAGGAAAACTTAATCATTGTAGCTATCTTCACTGCTGACTTATTTTAAGACATTGCCACAGCCACCCCAGTCTTAAGTGACCACGACTGTGATCAGTCAGCAGCCATCAACATTGAGGCAGGACCTTTCACCAGCAAAAAAAAACTACAACTTGCTGAAGGCAAGTCAGATGACTGTCAGAATTTTTTATTAACAAACTATTTTAAATTAAGGTATGTACTTTAAAAAAGATATAATGCTACTCTACACTTCATAGACTATAGTACAGTGTAACTTTTATATGCTTTGGAAAACCAAAAATTTCATGTGAGTTGCTTTATTGTGACAGTCACTTTACTGCAGTGGTCTGGAACTGAATACGCATTATTTCAGAGGTATGCTTGTATTCTGACCCTGAAAGGCCAAAAAAAGAAAAAAAATAAAAGGAAAAGGAAAAGGAAAAAAAAGAACCCTAATTAGAGTAAGAAGAACACCTGGTATTATTTTTTTTTCACAATTTGACTTCTGGTTTTTCTCTAGCCACATCTTTTAGCTCTGTTTGTTTCACTACTCAGTGAAAAACACACAGTAATACTAGTCCATTTGTGCAGTATCATAGTCTTACATTTTCAATTCCAGATGCCATTGACAATATTATCACAGGAAAGATATTGCTTAAAGGTGAGATAATATTAAGGGCTAACTTGTATAGGGAGCTCTGAATTACATATAAGTTGATTATTGTCTATTCTACAGATTATCTGTGATCACTTAATGATTTCTTCCTAACAATTACCACCTTGCATCACCAAAGTATGACAGTGAGAATCAGTCCAAAAACTAGACCTCTAAAGAATGAGAAAATGATTAGAAGTCAATTAGTAAATTTTGCTCCTTTGTTAACAACTATAATTCAGTCAAAACTCAGTATGTGAATAGTATTATTCACAATACAAATAAATTAAGAAGTAATAGGCAAGGCACAGTGGCTCATGCCTATAATCCCAACACTTTGGGAAGCCAAGGCAGGAGAATCATTTGAGGCCAGGAGGTCAAGACCAACCTGGACGGCCATAGCATACAAAAATAAAAAAGAGCCAAAACCGACCTGGACGGCCATCTCTACAAAAAAAAAATTAAAAAATAGCCAGGAGTAATAGTACATGTGTATAGTCCTGGCTACTTGGGAAGCTGAGGCAAGGGGACTACTTAAGCCCATGAGGTTGAGGATGCAGTGAGCTATGAGTGCACCATGCACTCCAGCCTGGGCTACAGAGTGAGACCCTATCTCTCTTTAAAAAAAAAGAAGAGGTAATACATTTTATAAAGTAATTTACTATAGGACTCCTTTAATAAGTAGGTCAGCATTTAAATTATTGATTTACCTAAATTCTGACAGTTTTTTAGAGAGATATTTATCGAGCAATATACCTAGCTGTTCAAGGTATAACAGAAGACATGAAACTATTTATAAATGAGATTTTCCTATTACCTACAGATTTCACTTAGTACGCTAATAACCCCTCCCTTTAGCATAAACAAATGGAAGCTATTAGACCCCTACAAATTTCAGGTACTAACTTCTAAAACGTAGATAAAAAATATGTTGGACATAATCAAAGACAGTATCTTAACTAGCTAACACCATCTGATTTAAATATTCTGATGGACTCTTAACCATACTGTACTTTGAGTTGTAGTTCACTGGCTTACCATTTAGGAAAAGGCACTGGGGCAGAACAATGCACAGGATAGTAATTAATAATGCACAGGAAAATAATTAATGGGGCATGTTTTTCATACCTCTTCATCTTTCACATTCACATCCACATTTTTCGATTTGATGGCTTTGGTTATATGGTCAATGTTGTTTTCCCTGCAGTAATCAAATATATTTTTGTCTTCTTCCCTAGAATAAAAAAAAAGAAAGGTGTTTTCTTACTGGGTAATACGTAAAAGTTACATATTTTTAACACCATCTGTTTGCTGCTGACATAGGTGTTAACGGAATCTGTTTATAAAAAAATTTTACATTAACAGTAATAATTTTTCAGTAGATGTAATATATCTAACTCCTGAAAAGGCTAAAGTTCTTAGTTTCCTACTTGCCTTACAGGATAAGAGAATTAATTGTTACTCAAGTTTTAAAAATACATATGAAAGTAATTCTCTTAAAGGAAAGAAAATTAATTGGACAAAGAGGGGGAGGGGCATTAAAATTCAGAAATCCTTTATAAGATAGTAGAATCAAAGACTAGAAGGAAAAACTGGGAAGCACACCCAGCACTCGTCTAAGTATATTGCATGTGCTAATTCACTTAATCTTTCATCCAACAATTTCACTTTACAAATGAAGAAACAGGCAAAAAGGAGAGGTTAAATGACCTGCCAAATGGTACTACATTTATCAAAGGTAGAAAAAGAGCTAGAACTCACTTAGATCAACTGATTTTGTATATAGTACATTTTTCTATTATATTATGCTGCCTTTTGACTAATCAGCTGCAGTCTATTCCAAAATCTGAAGCAGAAGTTCTTAACATGAAATCTATGAGCTCTCTAAATAATGTACAGAATTATCTTTGTAAGGCATGCCCATTTTTCTGGGTGTTGCATGCATTGGGGGAAGAACTGTTTCAATCAGAGTCTTAGAACAATCAGTGACTCCCATAAAGATCACTAATTTAGAATACTAACAACAAAACTGCCCCATATGTGGACTGAATTTTATAAAGTATAAAGGAATGCATTTTGAGTTCCAAAAATCAAACTAATGTGTTTTATAAACTGCAATGCCATAGCATTCATTCATCAGAAAGCAAAACACCTGGCCACAGGAGTTCTTCAATCTTAAAAGCCAATCTAAACATCTTGTGCCATAAAGAAAGTTATTTCCAGTCATAGCTAATTATCTTAAAACACACAACTTTGGCATCAGCCATCTAAGTGTTCCTTAAGCATTTGAAGTATTTTATTGAGCTCACCTACTACATGTAAGGCATTGGACAAGAATTTACTGATAACAGATACAAGGCTAAGCCAGAAAGTTTGCCTTTAAGACACAAACAGTATAGCTGGGACAACAAAAATTTACACATGATTAACTTAAGGTAAAAGTTGGATCCTTAGAAAGGACTATAAGAGAACAGAGCAGAAATAACTTGCTTCATGTTAGAGAAAATGAGGTAGGTTTTAAGTAAGAAATCATGTTTAATAGGACTATATGGTCACTTGAAAAGGTCCTGTTGTACAGAAGAGAAAATGCTTTTTCACTTATTCTGTAAAGAAAATAAGAAGTGAGGCCAAACCCCAGAAAAGAGAATTCTGATTTTAAAAAGTAGGGCTGCATATAATACCACTTTAGGCATATTTAACCACCATTAAAAACACCATGTCTATGAAAGAATGCCTTCAGAGACTCAATTTAAGGGTAACAGGGACCTACTTTCTTCTAATCCAGTAACAGAGAACCCACCAATTCAAGAGGTACCAACCTCAACCATTACAGAAGGGACTGAGTCTTTTTAAATCATGGGAATACTACAATGCTAGTCACCAATTGTTTTTGAATTAGAAAATAATGGGAAGTTGGTGGTAGGACACAGAAGGATCCTTGACATGCGGGTTACCCACATGCAGCAACATATAAGGGTTATTCACAGATGAAAAGACTTTTGGAGTGGCCCCTCTTCATGTATACCTATGCTATAAGCAGTTAAAAAAAAAAAAAAAAAAAAAAAAGCAAACATAGGCCGCACACAGTGGTTCACGCCTGTAATCCCAGCACTTTGGGAGGCTGAGGCAGGTGGATCATGAGGTCAGGAGATCGAGACCATCCTGGCCAACATGGTGAAATCCTGACTCTACTAAAAGTTAGCTGGGAGTGGTGACAAGCACCTGTAAGCCCAGCTACTCAGGAGGCTGAGAAAGGCAAATTGCTTGAAACCAGAAGGCAGAGGTTGCAGTGAGCCAAGATCTTGGCACTGCACTTCAGCCAGGTGACAGAGCAAGATTCCAACTCAAAAAAAAAAAAAAAAAGGTAAACACAGTATAAAAACACATAAATTTGTTTCATTTACTATATCTTAAATATGTTTCTTAGACACATCAAATGTATCGATTAGTTTGTTTTGCTATGTGAATTCTTTGGAGGGCAGGTGGCATTTGCTTAAGTATCTGTTTATCATATATAGTTTATCATCACTAAATATGCTAGGCACAGAGATATTAACAAAATACTTCAGGATAGTGTACACATATAAATATTAAAAAGAGAAGTCCAATAAAATCACCAAAAATGTGTCACAAGGCTGAATGATGAATATTAAAATTATAGATATCCAGTCCCACACCAAATTTTGAGTATCTTACCCTCCACAACCAAGCTGTCTTTACACAATGTCACCACCTAGTGGCCAAAATGAAGAAACAGCTGGAGCAACATCATTCCATATTTCCACCCCAACAAAATCATGTACAATGTGTGAATTAAATTCTCTCTCTACAGTTCTCTAAGAGCTCAATACAGTCTTCCATAGTCTATATTGCCCATTGTATCCATGCTTATCTGAAATAACGTGCAAATGAATCCAACCATTATGAAATACAGTAGAGCCTTTAATAAACAAGTGTCTTTTCACATCTTTATTTTCCTTTCTTGATTTTTTACTGTTATCTTTTTCCCTCTTTGTTGAATGTGCATCTAAAAATTATCATATTTAATTACCTATAGATGACTGTGAGTTATCTTTATGATGCTACCCTAAAGGACGTCCCATGTAATCTCTAGCACAAAACAGAAAGTCTCTTCTTTAGATTACTATAGTTTTTTTCTGAAGTTGACAGAAAATATATTTATATACCTGAAGGAATAATCACTGGTTTCTTTGAAATTCTTTTGAAACATAAGAGCACTCTTTATGGGAAAGAGGAATAGTGTTTAAATATGGTTATCTTTTTCACCCAATAACAGGAAGATCCTTGCCCATTTCTAAAAATGTTATCTGTACCAATTTCTACTCAGATGGCATCTTCTTGCCAAAAGAATATTTCAAATAGGTCTCATGGCAAGACATATAAAGTCCATTTAACTACAAAAATTATGGAAGAAAACTAGCTTGGAAATCTATTTAACAGGCACGTTCAATAAATATTCAATTCAATTCATATATTTATCAAGCAACTGGAAATCAGATATAAAACAAAGTATTCTAGTAGGCAATTGAATAAGTATTTATTGCATGAATGAAAATTCAAAGAAAGTAAGCCAGTATCTACAAAGATACAAACAAATGCCATAATTCCTCAAACTAAGGAATGTATATATGTGGGCTCTAGGATACACAAACACCTTTAAAAGGATATGGAGGTATAGATCATTTTAAGTGACTCAATTTCCAGCTCCTGAACTTGAGATAAATGCATTCTTTATTAAACTGATCTACCGGAAAGGGCTCCTGTGCCAAGTATTTCATTACCATTCTTCTCTTCCACATTCCCTCTGCTCAAACACTCTTCTCCTAGTTTGTAAAGGAGAGGCATTACAGCTCTCTCCTTACTACAGTTAGTATACTTCTAGGAGGTATAATCAAAAGACTGACGCCCAACAGCATTCTGAGGGATTTCTCTGGTGGAAGACAGTTCGTTCATGAGGTCTCATCAGGACCATGGCTAAGGCAATCCTCAAAATAATACACTTTCCCTGGCTCTATTTTTATGTTCATAAATGATCATTTAACTATCAATCTGTTTTTCTGGACTATTCAATTCTCAGAAAGGAGGGATCTAGCACTTCACTATAAAGACATAGTCCCTTTGGTAAACAAATAAGCATTTTAGTTTACATCTCAGTTTTGGGCCAATTTTATTATTCTAACTTTGTCCCTAAAGGTCTGCTCCATCTATGGATCTTTTTTCTACATCTTTGAAGTTGAAAAATGGACCCTGATCAATGGTAATTCACCAAAAATGCCACTCTGTGACAGTCCTTTGGAGGAAGTCTTTCCGGGATAAAAGACTGCATTGCACACTATCTTCCAAAATTCAGCTAGTAAATATTACTTCTTTGTAGGAATTTAAGTTCCTAATTTACTTGGTGGATGTACAGCCAGACATTATTGATCTGAAAGGCAAAGGAATGTATTCTGTTCAAATATAATGTTAGAAAATAATGCTGCCATCTCACTGATTTCAACTGTTTTTCAACATTCTGTGTATGCCAAACACAAAACTCAAAGTCTAATGTTGATTCTTTTAATTATAATTTTTCACATATATAATCTTCATTTTATAAATAATACAATTTTATATAATCTTTGATATGGTGAAACCATCAATATTTTATAAGTTGAGATTTTAAAATGTTTTAATTTATAAATATAAAATAATCATACGGGCATATATTAATTTACTTACAGATGTTTCTATCCCTGGAAAAAAAAAAATTCTTATTCAAAGGTGTTGAAGCTGGTTTAAGACTTATAAGGAGTTGGGTGTGGTGGCTCGCACCTATAATCCCAGCACTTTGGGAGTTTGAGGAGGGAGGATCACTTGAACCTAGGATTTTGAGACCAGCCTAGGCAACATAGCAAGACCCTGCCTCTACAAAACTATTTTCAAATCAGCTGGGTGTGGTGGTGTGTGCCTATAGTCCTAACTATTTGGGAAGCCAAGGTGACAGGATCAATTGAGCACAGGAGTTTCAGGTTACAAGGAGCTATGATTATACCCTTACACTCCAGTCTAGGCAACAGAGCAAGACCCTGTCTCTTACAAAAGAAAAAAGAAAAGGAAAAAAGAAAAAGACTTATCTGGAAGGAGCAAAATAGGTAAAATCAACTTCTAACTCAAGGACTAAACAGTCATGGCTGCCATACTTAGCACACTGAAAACCCCCACTTCTAATTAATA